AAAGTAACATCAGGGTTGGTGTCTGGTAAGGGCTGCAGGTGATTTTCTGTGCTCATGTGACCCTTTGTGCATGCACAGGGTGGGGTGGGTGTGAGTTGGGGATGGAACACAGCAAGCTCTCTGATAACTCTTCTAATAAGTAAAGGCATTACTCATATCAGGACCCCACCCTTATGACCTTTTTTTAACCTTAATTATTTTCTTAGAGGCCCCATCTCCAAATGCAGCCACACTGAGGGTTAGGGCTTTGACATATGAATTGTGGTGGACACAAACATTCAGTCCACAGCAATTTCCTTCTTTAATTTGGAAATTTATGAAGGATGAGGTTGGAGAAACACAGTTTCTCTTAAATGTGATTTTTTTCACAATGCCACAAGGAACCTGAAAAGAATACACTGGAGTCATTTGATGACAAAACTCATCCAGCAAAAATGACTTGAGTTTTAGAAGACTTCACCAGAACTCCAAAACTGCTGACAGAAAAGGACAGTTAACATAAATGGGATTTTTCAATTTCTTTATTAAATAAACACTTATTTAGAATCCAATTTCAATTTCAAAAGATCAAATGATCTCTGTGCTTGTTTTTCACATGGTGAGTCATCAGAATGCAAAGCCAAGTCACACTGCACAGGTTTGCCCGTGACCTATTGGTCACAGCTAGTCCCTGGCCAGCCCCAGGGACAGTAGAGCAAAGGCACATACTGTGCTTCACTGCAGGGAAGGGAGTGAATATTTGCGTAACAATTATATAAAGTGCTCTGGCCCCTCTTCAAGAGTTTTTTATAGGCTTCACTCAGTGATTTCCATTTATTCCTTGACTGTCCATTTTTTTGCAAGGAAGATTGTGAAATATATAATCTTTTTAACTGAATGCTCTGATGCTGCCTAAAACATAGGGGTTCAGTGAATGAAAAAAATAATGTAAACTGGATGTCAGCATTCTCTGTTGCAAAGTAAGCTCCACTCTCTTTCATTATTCGTGGATTTAACAACTGTTTCGGTGCACTTACCAAGAGAAAAGCCCTGTCCTGGATGATGTAACTTACATGGACACATTACATGGTTGCAGGATTACAGGGAAGTGGGCTCCACAGGAATTAAGGACCCAGTGATCCAAGTTGATGGAAGCTCTACCTTGACATGTGCCTTTTAGTCACTGCCTAAGAGAAGAAATGTAGCCAGTCCTGCTTGGGGTCTTAGAGCTTCCACACAAAGGTGGTGTCACTTCCGCTCCTATCATTGGCTAACATTAGTAACATGACTGCACTACTTCGAATGGGGTGGAGAGCACATTTAAACTATGTGTGAAAGATGGGGAGCTGGGGTCAGTGGGTGCTCAAGTGACTACTGTAACTCAGCTCTTTGGAACAGCTCTCCAATCTGCCATTGCAGCAGAGAACGCTGCATAACCAAGAGGCCCTTTGGGGTGTGTGTGTGTGTGTGTGTGTGTGTGTGTGTATGGTATAGGGGGGTGGGAGGGTGAGGGAACTGCTTAATTTACCAGATAAACACTATGACATTAAAAATGCTGAAAGAAAAACACAAAGGACTCAAGAAAGTCAGAAAACAGAGAACTTGAACAACACTACAAACAAATTGGCCCTAACAGATAAATACAGAATGATGCACCCAAAAACAGAATATACATTTTCTCAAGTACACATATTAGGCCATGATATTAGTCTTAATAAATTCCTAAAAAGTTTTTAAAAGTATTGCTAGTTAGGTGAATAATGAAAAATGTTTGGTACAGATTGTGAGTTCTTTAAGGCTACAGACAATGTTACTATTATTATTGGTACTGGGATTGAACCCAGGGCCTCGTGCTCGCTAAGCAAGTGCTCTACCAATTAAGCCACACCTTTGGTCTTAGAGACAGTATTATCAACTCTTGTTTTATGTAGCTTTTTACTGAAGTTTAATATACATACAGAAAGGTACACATGACATGACATAGGGATAACAACTTGACAATTTTTCATTTGTCATCAATACTGAAATCAGTAGCCAGATTGAGAAACAAAATATGATACATCACACAAAAGTCCCCTCCTGTCTCCTTCCCAGTCATGATTCCCCTCCAATGTAACACTCTGACTTCTAATAGCAGAAATCAGCATTGTCTGTTGAAAACATCATATAAATGGAATCACACCTTGGCCTGTTTTTATGCTGGCTTCTTTTCATGTTTGAATGTAGCAGTAGTTCACGAATTCCCATTGCTGTAAATTATTCCATTGTGTGAGTCCATCATTATCTTTCTACCACTGATGGATTGTTTCTGGCTTGGGATCACGAAATACACTACTCATATGAACACTTTTTCACATAGCTATTGGTGAGCATGTGTAGAAGGCATTTCTGTGGGTACAGGTCTCCAAGTGGATTTGTCGGGTCAAAGGGCATGTGTATGTTTTGTTTTAGTAGAGACTGCTAGACAGTTTTCCAATATGTTTTGTTTTTGACGTTCAGCCTCAAACACAGAATGTGGCACATTATATAGGTGACTGGCAGAAATGGTTCCTAAATTCACGAAGAGTGAGGAAGCAGGGAGCCATGGAGTGAAAAAGATCAGGGCAAGGATTGTCACATTGTAGATATGTTGGGTCACAGTGACAGGCATGGCTTTGTGTATGTTATCAGGGAGACAAATTGTCACATCTAGGATAATACAGACCATTTAAGTTACGGTTTCAAAGGCAGAAGAAATCATTGTCAACTAGGGGTTAGAGAAAAGGAAATTGATTTTTCTAGGCAGGAACTGTGAAATGCAGGTTCCTGGTGGAGTTCTTGTACATTGGGGATATATCTCAGACTTATAGGTCCAAAACTCAATTTTATCTGCTTATCCAGCTTGGCCCTTCCTGTGGTACTGACTGCTCATATTCAATCTGGCTGGAGGTCAGGTGGCAGGTATTCATTTATAGCTGGAATTCCTCCACTCCTACCTGGTATTCTCTTTAGCCAAGGAGAGGGTCCACTGAGTAAGGAGGTATGGAACTTCAGAATGTAGGGTTTTAACTGTTCTTGTGTGATATTTCACTTGGCTGGATCAGATCCTGGAGCAGCTTTTCCAAACTATGTCCCTTGAATCCTCAGAGCTGCTTTCTTTAAAGGAGTTCTGTTTCCAGTAAACCTGGGAAATACCAAACACTCTCTTCCCATCTTAGAAAAATCTCAGTGTACTTTAGCATCAAAGACTCTGATAAGTCCTGTTGCCAACAAAATAAAAATTACCAACTGTTTAACTGTGCTAAGTGTTCTCCAAACTTCACCCACAGAACTGTTGCCATTTAAATTCTTTTTTATATATAACAGATATATTCTGCAGAGCACAAAAAGCTCTTTGGAAAACATTAAAGAAATATCTCTGTTCTACTATCTAGTGGATTACAAACTGCATTTTTGGGCTGGTAGAGTGGCTCAAGAGTAGAGTGTCTGCTTAGTAAGTGGGAGGCCCTGAGTTCAAACCCTGGTGCCGACAAAGAAATGGAATTAGCATTTGAGTGTCTGCTTTACAAACTGTATTTTTAGAACATATTTGTGAAAAAAGTTATTGATTTGAGACCACATTAAAAGCAATTAGAATAGGAAATATCAGTGAGCATCACATGAAGTAATGTTTTTATAAAATGTTTGTGGCACATCTTACGCCCCTTTTCAAGGCAAAAAAAAGACTCACATTATCTCCCTAATCATCCAAATAAAATGCTAAGGGCTTGGCCCAGGGTCCCTCCCTCTTGTGTCATTCTTCAGCCAGGGCTCAGATTCCCTGTTCTTTCAGGACTCCTTATGCACTGTCCAGCTGTATTGTGCAGCCCTGAGCTCTGCCTCTCTCTGCCTGATCTATGTCTCCCTCTTCCTCTCCTGCTCTGGCAAAGACACTTGAATTTGCTGAACTATTTACTGGCTGTCTGGCCTCAGGAACGTCTCTTCAACCTCCTAATACTGTTTCTTCATTTGTAAAATGATGATAAACTCTTCCTCTTAGGATCGTTTGTGGAGATGAAATGAATACCCAAAGTGTCTGGAACAGTAAGAGTGAAATACTTTCCTCTGTCTGCCTGCCACCCCACCCAACCTGCATCCTAAGACGTCCCCCTGGATGTTTGCTTTTAGTGACAACCTCAAAGTATTCTGGGGCAGGTGACTGCTGGGGAGACCCTGAAATGGGTCAACCAGTGGTGAATCCAGGCAGTTTTAATCCTGGAAGTTATTTTTTAGCCTGGTTCCTAGATTCTCTGAGGCACTGTACCTTCACCCATTGCCTCCAGGCTCTTAAGAGTCCTAAGGTGCAAATATTGTCAGAGGTCCCAGCACTGGTTCAAAGTCACCCAGCTGTTAACAGTGAAGCCAGCCTTCTTCCAAACTTAAGCCCAGTGCCCTCCCCTATAAGGAGTGCACCGACCCTCTGGTCCCACCCTGACTGTCACCTGGGCAGTAGATGACCCAGGGGACATGAAGGAACTGTCTTCGGGTGCAAAGCGGAGAGTATCAGCCACTTGCTCTCCCAACTTTAACATTGTTCAGCTCTCCAGGAGAAAATCTGTTCATTGTTAATGACCTTCAGTGGTCAACGGATTTTCTTTCCAAACCGCTCTTGGGAACTGAGCCTAAACCAGGAGAAAAGGTGCTAATGAAAGAGACTTGTCTTTTTGAGACTTTGTAGCAGAGGGTGGCAGTTTTGGGGACCTTCAGCCCCGCCCCGCAGGTTGCCAAGAGCTCACAGAGCGCCCACACCCTTTAGAGGCAGGACTGGGGCGACGCCTGGCGCCCAGCCTTGGCGCTTCACCCCGCGGGCAAGGCGGGGCCCTCTCCTTCCCAGCACCTGGGCGCCTGCTCCAAGCGGCTGCGGCTGGCCGAGCCCCGGGCAGGGCTTTTATTGTGAAAGGAGCTTCCCCCTCCCGCGCTTTCAGAGGGAATGGGAGGCTGGGCCGGGACGCAGGGCTGGGACTTTGCAAACTCTGCAGATGTCCCCTGCAGACCGAGGAGGCTCGCGATCTTGGGACTGCTCTCTCGGACCCACAGATCCCGCGCGCAGATCGCGTCCCGCTCTCCACCTGCGGAGCATCTCCGTGCGCATCGCACGCCCGGGAGTTGGCGCAGGGCCACTTGGCAGCTGGAGAGGTGTGGACCTTCAGTCCAGGAAACTCAAGCGAGCGTGGCCGAGCATCCTGGGAAGCCCGGCGATCCACTGCGCCGGGGGCGGCCCGGGGGCGGCGGGATGAGTTTGCAAGCCGGCTGAGTGCACCGAGGACCTGGCCCTGTCACCGTGGGGACATGGTAGGAATTGCAGGAGGGAGCACTGGAGCAGAGGACCGGTGGGCGCCTGGACAGGTGGCGCGCACTGGCTCTGGGCCCGCACAGCTTGCGTGGCTTCCCAAACTTGCATAGAACGATGGCGGTTTTCGTTTTTACCCAGAACTGGGGTAAACGGTGCTCTTGGGGAACGACCGTAGTAGGGGACATTCATTGTTGCTCAAGTTTATCTGACCCACAGGTCTGGGAGAGGGGAGGAGTCCGTGGGCATCCAAGGCGGTCTCTGATGGGTGAGAAGCCTTTGGAGTCACATTTTTCCTCTCAAAATATGCTTGCGAACCCTACGCTATCTTCTATAGCTTAGTTTGGGTTAATTAAAAAAAAAAACGCTTTAACATTTATTACCATTGAGTCGAACTTGAGGATCAATGCCTGACTTCCAGTTCCCGCCTCACTCTACCTACTGGGCAGAAGGACCATTGAGCACATGTGGGCGTGCTGGTCGGTGGGAGACATGAAGGACCTGTGGACTTGATTGTTTCTTCTCACTGACAGCCAGCAGGCATGCAGATAAACCCTTTGAGAACTCGGCCCAGGCGGTTTAGCTAAAGCACTCATGTAAACCCAGGACTGGCACAGCTTCCAAGCAGAAAACCCTGGTTTCTGCAGCTCCCTGGGCTCTGATGCCTGCTTCTATACCCCTTTCCCTCCCACTCCAAGCCCACAGAGGGCAGAGTTGCTTCTTGGGAAGTTGGCTGTGGGCCTGAAATTAGGACACCTGGATCCTCTCCTGCAGGATATAGGTCTCTGTGAATAGCTCCCAGGGTGTCCTGTCAGATGTGGAGGCTTGGCCAACAGGAGGTAGGGGCTCAGGTGAGGTGAGTGTGTGAGGGCTGTGTGTGTTTCACCTTTCCCCTGATGAAGGCCTCTCCCTAGCTCTCCTGTTTCTTTCTCAAAGCTGCTAAAGAGAAAGGAACCCTGAAATCTTAAGCTTGAAACGAGTGTAGCTCGAGGTACAGGATATGCAATGGAAGCATATGGAGAGGGTTTGCTACAGATTCTCTGTTTAGGGACAAGAGTGTGGCTGGGAGAGTGGGGCCAGTCCTTTTCTCTGAGGGGCATTAGCAGTATCTAACAGAGCCTGTCCAGCCTCCTGCAGCTGAGATGGGAGACCTACCTGCCTTCTTCCTGCTCAGACGCTTCTGGGTTCTGAAATTGTGTTTTGAAGAGTACTTAGGTCCACAGTCCACTGTGTCACAATTCACTTGCCTGGTAGCAACCTCTGGCAGTGAGATGGCCTTGGAGATCTGAAGGGTCTCTTGCTTCTCTCTCCAAATGAAGGATCCTGTGATCCACAGACCTAGGAACCCACAGGGAGCCTAGCACTGGGTGGAAACAGCACGAGAGGATACAGGGGCCTGGGAGTCCATTGGGGCTCCTGCACCCTGCTCCATAAAATGAGAGAATGAATCAGGTGGCCTCTGAGGTGCCACTTAGCTCCCCATATTAGTGATATGTGAAGAATTGTGAGGTTGGATGTCACCTCTAGTGTTCAGCTATTGAGCTGTCCTAAGCATGGGCAACTGAAAGTTGTGCCCTAATAATGCCATAAGACTTGGAGTTTTGCCGAGAAACCACAAAAATTGTTTTTCTCTTAGTCAGGACCTAAAACAAACGTTAAGGAAGTCATAGATGGCTTTCATTCAGTGCCAACCAAGGAGATATGTCTGGGATGCTTCTCCAGTGTAGATAAAGTAGAACCAGATTTTATCCTAAAATAGATTTCTTGCTCCTTTTAGTCTCTCTCCTTACCAGGCAGGAAAAACCTACCCTGTGGCAATGTTTGTCCCATCTGTATCCCTGGGCCTCCTTTGCTGCATGCTGCTTCCTGGAGAGGATGCAGCCCTTAAACTTGAGCAGGCCTCTGAGGTTTCACACAGGGATGTCCCAGTTAATGTCCCTGCCCTGAGTAAGTCCCTGGAGTTCTCAGGCTCCCCCAAAGAGATTAAACTGACTTTGGAATCAATTGGGAACCTAAGAATCTAGCCCTTGCAGTCACGGGAATTTGACATGCATTCTCTCCCCTGGGCAACCCCTTTACCTATGATCCTGGGGCATAACTCAGGCTCTGCAGGGACAGAGGATTTTAAGCAATCCCCTAACCTCAACCAGCCTAAATAGGAGTCACTCTAAAAAACAGTGGGTAGACTGAGAGGGGTGGGAACAGACTTCACAAAGAAATTAGTTCCTTGTTTTTTATTTCTTTTATTTTTTCTTAGGGGCCAGTGAGAGAACATGTTGCAGATGGGCCTCCCAGAGGCCAGCTCCCCTCCCAAGCTAGACTAGACCCAGAGTGTATCTGCACTCAGAGGCATGGGTGCTGTGAGCCACCAGAGCTATCTTTGCTTGGATCTTCTGATGTGACTGCTAAAGTGTTTGCTCCTGGGGAGTTTGGAGCCCATCCCTGCATGTCTGGGTGCCTGTGCACAGGTGCATGTGTGGAGGCCCAGCTGCCTGAGAGTGAGGATGGAATCCATGTTTTGTGGGTAACCTCCAGAATGCCCTTCTCTGTTTTGGACCTACCCCCAACCATACACACACTCTCAGGAACGGCCTGAGATCTGACCCAGTTTCCCAGGACCCAGCCTGGTATCTTAGTGGAAGATGGAAGGTGCTTTTTTGACAGCAACTTGTGAGTCCTGGAGCAGTGGGGGTAAGAGTGGAAGGGAGGGAGGAGGGGAAAGTGGAGGATGAGGCAAGGAGGGGCCTCAGACTGCTCTCCAGGCTTTGAGTGGTTCTGAAGGAACAGGTGTCTTCTTGGGCAGGGACTGAGTCTTACCCACAAGTGACTCTGGAATTCCTGAGTGGCATGTCAAGAAGGCCACACAGGAAATTCACAATGCATGCACAAATATGTGTTAATGTCCCCCTCTTTCAGGGGAGCACTTCTGCCTCACCATTCATTCACTTACTTGCTCACTCACTCACAAAATGCCTCTCTTAAGCCGAATGTGGTGCTAGGGCAGAAAATGCAAAAGTCAAAACACACACCATGCCTCCAGAGAGTCCATAGTCTAATGAGGCTGCCTGTGTGTACCTGTGTGGGCTCCTGATGGATGTGTTTGGAGGGCAGGAGCAGATGATAGGTTCAGAGGAGAGGGAAGCATGAAGAAATGTTTCTGTCCTGGAAGGGAAAGGTTCCAGTGAGAATTCAGAGAAGGATGGACCCAGCCCAAGGAGTGAGGAGGTCACTGGGAACCCTCAGGACTCGGAGTATTTGAGGATGACCTGCATTTTGTCAAATGAGGAAAAGAAAAACCATTATACGTCTACTATAATAGCTAAAAAGTCAAAAGAAAGGCCTAATGATATCAAGAGCTGGCCAGGATGCAAAGCAACTGGAACTCTCTACCTTAAAGAGGAAGTAGTACTGTCACACCAGAAAAATGTAATTTCTTATAAAATGAAACACACTATATCACCCAGAAGTCCCATTCCTGTGTGTTCTTGCAGATGGAAGAAAACACATGTCTACACGTGAATGCAAATGTTTGCAATAGCGTTGTTCATAATTGCCCAAATGGAAACAACCCAAATGTCTCTATACTGTCAATTGGACTATTAATTGTGATGTACCCATATCACCTCAGCAGGAAAAAAAAACCCAAACAAACAAACAAAACCAAAAATTGATCCATGCAACAATATGGGTGAATATCAATGACATGTTACATGGAAGATAGGAAACTTGAAAAGTTACGTAATGTGTGATTCCGCTTAAATGGCATTCTTGGTATAGGGATTGAACCCAGGACCCCTCACATGCTAGGCAAGTGCTCTACCACTTTAGCCATGCTCCCAGCCTCCATGTTCATATTTTGTTTCTGACGTAGGGTCTTGCTAGCTTTTCTCAGGCTGGTCTTAAACTCATGATCCTCTTGCTTCCACCTCCCAAGTAGTTTAGTAGTGTACCATGACACCTGGGTTTCTGTATACGACGTTCTTGAAAGGGAAAAATTATAGACTGAGAACAGATCAGTAGTTTTGGGGGTTCAGAATGGGGGAGGCTGTGATTGCAAAGAGTGGAATACAAAGATTTTTGGATTCATAGAACTGTTGTGTCTCAGTTGTGCTGCTGATTACACAAATCTCTATATAGGTTAAAACTCTTGGAACCGTGTGCAAAAAGTTTTAGTTTTACTACACAAAGATTAAAAAATAACATAACATGAATGTTCATGGAGGACTGTCGGAGGGGCATCAGTGGGAGAGGTGAAGGGGATAGGAAAGAATACTGAGGGGAGAAGAGAAGACAGCATAATAAAACCCATCATACACTGTTTGAGAAAGGGGGGAGGTGGGAAGGAAAGAATGGGAATATAACGAGGGGGTAAACTTGTTCAAGGTACTCTGTATGCATGTATGGAATTATCACAATGAAATTCCCTTATATCATTAACATATGCTAATTCAAAAATAAAATTAAAAAATGATGTAGCCAAAAAAGAGGAAAGCATCTCCAGAAGGAAAGACCATGCAGAGCTCCCGAACACAAAAATGAGGTGTTTAAAGTTGGCTGAGAGGGCACTGAGGGAAGGCCACGAGGAAACTCTGGGAGATAGGCCTGGGGACAGAACCTGGCTCTTAGGAGTGGTGGTCTTCCTGCTGTTGTAGTTGAGATCATGATGTTGAAGACAGCAGTGTTTAGAGGTGGGACTTTTGGGGAGTGATTGGATCACGAGGGCTTTGGCCTCTTCCATTGGTTAAGCCACTGGTGGGTTCACAATGTGAAGAGCTATTGGGAAGTGATGGAAACCTAGGAGGTAGGACCTACTTGAAAGGAGTGGATCCTTGGGGTCTATTATCTTGTCTCTGGCCCTCTTCCCTCCTGCTTCCTGGCCTCCGTGAGGTGAGCAGCTTTGCTTAGTACCTGCTCCCTGCCATGATGTGCTGCCCTGCCACAGGCCCAGAAACAACAGAGCTCAAAGAACTCAGAAACCGTGAGCTGGATAAGTCTTTTCTAT